CCCAGTCCAAAACAGCAACCCTGCTCCCAGCTCCAGTCTAAGACAGCAGCCCAGGTCCAGAAACAGTCCAAGAGTCCAGAAGCCTCAATCAGACTGCTCCAGCAGTCTAGAAGCCCAAAGGTTTTGTCCCTGTCTTCTGCTATCAGCGTCCATGAGTCCAAGGGCCAGCAACCAGATTGATGGTCTGCTACAGGCCTTTGCCAACTAACGGAGGTGGTGACTCCGACTGACTCCGACGTGCCCAGCAACGAGTGACCATTGTCAGTGACGCTCAGGCAATGGCGGGGCTTCAACTTCTGGCGAGCTTGATTTCAGGAAGCAGAGACCACCGTAGAAGGTCAGCGAGCTCGTGTGAATGACCAGGCAACTTCAGGGACCTTCGGCGAGCTCCAATCGACAGAGGGTAGCATACGGCGGCGGCGTATGGCGGCAGATGATGGAACCCGCTCTGAAACCACTGTTGGGATCGTATTCCGTCTCCGGCTCGAGTCTTTTACACAAGACTCACATACACCACACTAGGGATAATGACCAATTCACCACCAAGCTTTTTCTCTACCACTAAGTAACCTCTCTTACACTCTCACACAAAGGAAAAGAAGAAGAAGTAGAGCACTGCTCTCTAGGGAATACTCACGCAGGCTGCTCTCAAAATGGAGAAGCAAGAGGACTACTAATAGGCTGCCAAGCAAGCTGGAAGTCACGGGTGAGGCAAACAAAGGACACTCACGGGCTACTCAAACAAAGGGTGCAACGGACAACAGCAAAAGGGGCCACCCATTAGATAAGTCAAATAGCCAATAAGAGAGGTAAAATAAGGTATAGCTTAGTGGGAGTAAAAATAGGGTATAAGTCAATAATAAAGTGGAGTGGAGGCCTTGGTAGGACCAATACCTCCAACAGAAGGGTTAATGTGCATTTCTTTAGATATGAAAGGTATGGGTATGAACTCCTTTGGATGTGAGATGTGGCAGTAAAATGTTCAACTTAACTCGATATACAAACTCATTTTTTTTGTATTAATTTAGTCACTTAGCTTTATCAAGCTCAAGCATGTAAGTTCGTATGACTTTAGGATTAGTTGGTGTGTGTTTAGGAGTGCTTAAAAGCAAATGACACAAAGATTTATCTTGGTCCAAAGGTGGTGTAATCCTCCTACATCCAGTCCCACCCTATAGATGGATTTCCACTAAGCAATTCTACCCAATACACTTAGTGTTCAATCTAGCCTTGATCACATGCCTAGATTGTCAGGTTTTCACAAGGAGCACAAGTGTACAACATCACTCCAAGTTACTCCATTGTATAGGTGTTTAACTAATGAACCAGGGCGATTCAAGAGTTACTCATTCCTATTCTACACACAATTTAGATTTGTTCGCAAAGCCTTGTAAAGGTGTTACTCAGCTTGATTTTGAAAGAAATCCAAACCTTCAACTATGCTAAGCTCTAAAGATATTTCATTGAGTATTCTAACTAAGAGCTTAGAGAAATGTGATTGAGCTTAGATCCAAGTTATATATTATTACTTTCTCTTTGCTTGATCTTTGTATAAGCTTATGTAGTATGCTCTAGCTCTCTACTTTTTCTACTTCACACTTCCTTTGTATTTATAGATAAATGGTGTTGAATATCTCCCGTTGGTTGAGAAGATTCAATCTTGACCGTTGATTGATCTATTTGATTGTTAGAGCATAAGCATGTTCTCTTTATGTCTTCAATAGGCGTGTCCTTTGTCCTTTTTGTTCATACGTGTGCCCATTCAGGCTTTGCTTGATTTAATGGATATGGTTTTACTCTTAATAATTTACACCGTATTTTCACATTGATTTAGAGACAAGTTCATCAGCCGTCATTTATTGCTTTTGTTGTACATGAGTCCCATTGAGAATAATGTGACTTTGTTTCTGTCAATATTACTCTAGTCTTTCAAAATAATATGTAAAGGCAGATCCAAGGTCTGAAGCAATAAAAGTTGTTTACCATTCCTTTATTTAATTTTTAATGTCTTCAGTTCACTGTGGGTCCCATAGGTTATGTTCTTGTGAGTTCGACTCTGCTACTAGAATAGAATTTGTAGATAAAAGTCTAAGTATCAATTTAGTGTTAACAGCCGACTCAAATTCCGTGTTGTAATTAACAGCCTGCTAATTTGATACTCAATAACAGCCTGCTTTTAAGTTGTCAGTGGAGGGTTTCAGTAGGCTCTTTTTTTTAGCGTACCTTCGTCTTTTTTCTTTTTCTTTTTTTTGGAAAAATTGAAAACAATAATCTCAACTATTGCTGGTCCGCTGAAAATAATCCCAACTATTGATTATTTTTGTATAATCCCAACTATATAGACTATCTGCCAATAATGGTCCATGACCATATATTACCTTTATAAAAAGTGAATTTTAAATAGAAATTAAGCGTAAAAATTAAAAGTTGAGATTATTTATAGGGATTACTTGTTATATCTCATCTCATCCACTTTAGAAACTACAAGAATTTATTCATAGGTACCATTATTGGCGGAAGGTCCCTAAAGTTGGGATTATTCTGTAATAATCAATAGTTGGGATTATTATGAGCGGACCGCCAATAGTTGGGATTATTACTATCAATTTTTCCTTTTTTTTGGTACATTCTCTTCTCTTCGTAGTACTCTTCTTTTCACTTTTCATTTTTATGAGTATTTCTCTTTTTCAATTGAAAGCACCAAATAATGCAGAGTATTTCAATCCAAGGGTTATAGTCTAATACAAATGCATCATTAAAATTGTTAAGAGAATTTTATTGTGATTAAGTCTAATTATGATATTTATTCTCTATAAATATATCTGTCAGGGCTACCATTATGGTTAAGCTTGGTAATTATTCTGACATGGTATTAAGAGCCATTCTTTCCTTACCCTAATTTTTTCGTCCATATGACGTCCTCTGCTTCTACGATTTCTTCCACCGCAGAGGCCTTCTCTGCCGCAGGTACGGGATCCATGTCGGCGCCGGTGTCCACATCCGCTGCTGCGACAACTGTTCCAGGCTCCGTCGACACCACACATGATGTTTCCGCATGCCCCTCTTCTCTCTCGGCCTCCATCCTCACCCCGGCAGTGATTTCGGAAATCCCAAATTTTCAGCCGCTAACCAATGCCCTGTCTTCCTCCGATGGCGTCTGGGTACCACCGGTGTTCCACTGGTCTCCTACCCGACAAGCAGTTCGAACACGCACAACATCAATATTCTCCGCCAATTCGCCCGCAGCCCCCCCCCCCCCCCCCCCCTTCTTCTCCAACGGTGGGGGCCCTTCGGCTCCGTATGTTGACAACTTCGGCTCCAGCTTTTCATGTCCAACTTTTGCTGGTGCTCCGGGTATTGGCCTTCTGCCGTCTAGTGCTCCTCTTGGTCCGATTGGGTCCAAACTTGCTGCCATCAATTCTCCAGGTTTATCTCTGTCTGAATTAGTTAAAAACATTGGTTTTTCGGCACTAAATATTACCAACATTGTTACCACAAAAGTGGCTGTTGTTGAGGATTATTTGACATGGCGTACCCAATTTGAATCGTTTATGGTGTCGAATGGTTTTTTTGGGTATTTTAGATGGTTCCATTCTTGCTCCCCCTCCATATATCTATGATGCATATCATCTTGGGACTATAAATCCTGATTATTATAATTGGTTAAAACTGGATCAAACTGTACGTTCTTGGTTGTTTGCTACATTGTCTCGAGATGTGTTAATTGAGGTGCGTGAATTAAAGAATGCGTTTGCTATTTGGAACCGATTGGAATCACACTTTATGTCTGCTAGTCTTTCTCGTTCCACGGAGCTGAAACGCCAACTTACTCATTCTAAAAAGCGCTCAAATCAGTCCATGGAACACTATCTTCGTGATATTAAAGATATTGCTGATCGGCTTGCTGCAATAAATGCTCCTGTGTCTAAAAGTGAGTTGTTTTAGTATATTTTGTCAGTATATGGTTAAGTCTGGTAATTATTCTCACACCCCCCAATAGTAATTTATATATAAATATTTACTCTATATAATTTATGAAAATATGTTGATGTTTTATCTTTGGCCCCGACAATATAATATTTCCAAGCCCACTCCCTAACATTACATTTTTTACCCTGCCATTGATGTAACTATGTAACATCGATCAATATATATGATACGTAGTAATACGGAGCAATCATCATTTTCATTTCATTTTCATTTACCCCAGTGTCGCAAAGGTTCCCACCTACGGTGGAGTAGGGGGGTTGGATGTACGCGGTCTTACCTCTGTACTAAAACACAGAGAGATTCTTTTTGGATGACCCATAGTGAAAATCGCGTCTAAAATTGCATGCACTGACTGCTGCTTCATAACAAAGAAGCGCAGACAGTTTAGCGAGTCATTTTGCTTTATTCCATCATATTTCAAGTCAAAAAATAATGAATCTTTGGCTTCATTGCAAATGATGGAAAAAGTAATACGGAGCAATAGTAATAATAAACTAATTAAGGGGGTAAATAAAGAGAGATTATATATATACAATACAACGTACTATATATGTAACTATCTTTGTCAATATGGTAGGTGTAATTATCAAAAAGAAAAAAACAGTACAAAAAGAGTGACTAGTTAATTGCTATAGATGGGTCGGATACATTGGCCGCTTCTTGTTCAAGGATGGATGACCGGCCGGCATAGGAAACAACGTACGTACGTGATTAATTAATTAATATACCGTAACATACACTCTTTATATCCGATTAAGATAATCTCATTTTACCAAATCAATCACATATCAAATTTGATAAAGTTTGTGTAATTTTGAATCATTCTTACTTTATTCTTCTTTTATGAATTAAATAGAAATCACATAAATTCATTTTTCTTAATAATTGTGTCAACTGCTCTTGTTTTAATAATATTAGCGAGACGGAGTTAGTACTAACCAATGGGACTGTATATGTACATGCATTTTTTTTTTATTAGTGTGTATATATATTTATACGGAGTATAAGATAATCATTAAATTGGCACCTAGCTAGCCTCCGTCAGCTGCACTCCATCAACCATTAATATATCCTCAAATATATACTACGTACAGTAATTAATTGGATCGTTGCAGAGATAGATCTATCGGAATAAATAATTAATACTGATCGATCGATCATTTAATTAGCTTAGGTTGTGTTTATGGTATATAAAGATGGAGGAGAATAGTAAAAATCTTCCGCCGGGATTTAGGTTCCATCCGACGGACGAGGAGCTGATCACGTATTACCTGAGTAAAAAGGTTTCCGACTTTGGGTTCTCCCCCATTGCCATTGCTGACGTAGATCTCAACAAGTGCGAGCCTTGGGACCTCCCAGGTATAAATTATACTACATAGTAACTAGTGTTTTAATCGGGCGTTGCCCCGGATGGAGGTTATGAATATTTGAATTCTTTGTAAAATATATATTTTATAGAATATATAAATAATTAATCATTTTTTATTTGAAATAAAATTTTGTTGATTGTGAATAGTAATTTAACTAAACGGAATGTATCAAAGTGTCATTGTAATATAACACCGCACATATCAAACATCGCATTGTTAGGTTTAAATTGGGAAATCTCTTTATAAACGACATTCCTCATCTTGGTGAAGAAATTTGTTTCTTTTGAACATATGAATATCTTAAGATATATTTACGCATTACTCTTAGTATTGCAATGTACAATTGGCCATTAATGAAACTTCTCTTTCAAGATATAAATCATACTCCCCCCGTCCCTTAAAACTTTGTCATCTTTCTTCTTTGGGATGTCCCAAAAAACTTTGTCACTTTCCCTTTTAGACAATTATTTTGTGGTTTCTTTTATTTCTCCCTCCTCTGCACAAACCTCAACCACAACGTTTTTACTTTATTATTCTCTGTGCCGGTCAACTTTGTCAAAGTTTTAAGGGACGGAGGTATTATATTTTATGTGATGATAAACATTTTTTGGCAAAATTTAGCATTCACTTTTATTGATTGTATTTTTTGCGGCTTCCTTTTTCATTCTTAGTTCATTGGATGGACATGCCTAAGCTACGTACTATACAGTGGACCGGGGTCCTCGTTTATTGTATTTTACTCTTGCTTAAGTTTAATTTAGTCTCCTCTCACGTGTTTTGTTTTTTACAGCTTTGTTTTGAAGAGGTTTTGTTTTTTACAGTTGTAAAAAACATGGCAGTAAATAGTCCTATTTTGGAAATAAAAACATGTCAGTCCTATTTTGGAATTTCTAAACCTTTTTAGTCCTATTTTGGGTAAATTCTCTTATTTTTATATTAAAATATAAGAAAGATTTGTAATTTTAGTCCCGTAACTTTTGATTGTTTCCATTATTAGTCCCGTAGTTTTAATCACTTGCAAATTTGGTCTTATATATAACTAATACGAAGTACGTAGTAAGTTTTTGCGATTCAAGGACTTTCTCCCGAAAAAGTACACTTTCCGATAGAAAATCGAATGTTGCCGGCATCTTTTCCGGTATATTTTTTCCCGGAAGTGTACTTTTCCACGAAAATATCTTTGAATAGAAAAGATTTATTAGTTACAGGACCAAACTTGCAAGTGACTAAAGTTACAGGATTAAAAATGAAAACAATCTATACAATAAAGTAGCTATATTGATTTCTTATATTTTTTATATATGTATTTTGCAATTTATTGTATGATGATGATATGTTTATGCTGGTTATTACTAGGACTTTTATTTTTATGTAGTTTAAAGTCTTTTACTGATAAAAAATATATATTCATCTCTAACTATATCTCATAGAACATATATATTCACGAACTTTTTTCAGGATAATCACAAAAAATGTGTTTACTCTCACGCATACTCATGCAGTTGAAGACATATTTTACTAATTATGAATTTAGTTATTAAGTTAATAATGTACAAAAGAACTTCTGGTTATGACTTATGAGTATGCGGGTTATTAGATTGATCTTGATAGATTGAGCAGGGATGAGATTTGATGGGCTGAATCAATTGGTTGGGCCGAGTTTCAAATACTCATCTCTTGCCCACCTCTCAAATAGTGAGCCGGGCCGTACGTGGTCCTCACAAGTCTGGGTGAACTTTTATTTTTACCAAATGAGACTGGTACGCCCCTTCCGCCCAAGAATCTCAGTCTCCCTCATTGAATCTGACGTCCAGCCATCGCTTGGATGATGATTTTTTCCCAAATGACTAAGGATTAGCACCTCCATCGCGTTATACAATATGATGAAGCTTTCTGAATGTGGTTTGGTAGAAAGTATTTGCATTATACTACGTATATAGTTCCAGTTGTCAATTGTGGTTTAAATTTTAAAAAACATTAAAAAACAGGAAAAGCATCAATGGGAGAGAAGGAATGGTACTTCTTCAACCTCAGGGACCGGAAATACCCGACTGGCCTGAGGACAAATCGGGCAACTGAAGCGGGGTATTGGAAGACGACCGGCAAAGACAAAGAGATCTTTCGAGGTGGCAGTGTGTTGGTGGGGATGAAGAAAACACTGGTGTTTTACAGAGGAAGAGCCCCAAAGGGTGAGAAAACCAACTGGGTTATGCATGAATATAGGCGCGAACCTAAACATGCCTTCAAACCTACCAAGGTATATCACCATTACTCTCTATAGTTTTACTTTAGATATAAAAAAAATTATATCACATATGTCAATGTTTTAAATGTATGGGTTATCCGGAAACAGTCTCTATAGTTTAGTACAGGGGTAAGACTGCATACACCCGACCCCCCCACCCCACCGAAGGTGTGGGAGCCTTTGCGGCACTAGGGTAATGATGATGTTGATGTCAATGTTTTAAATAATTACTTGCACTGCATTATTTCGTGATTCCTTATTTGCTCGTTCAACTTTACCACATGTAAATATGTAATGCATCAAGAGAAATGACCACCATTGTTTTATCTTCCTTTTCTCTAATGTTCAGTAAGTTTATAAGTAAATTGATGAGAAATGACTAAAGATACTTTTCCTTTTTTTTTTTTTCCTATCATCAACATTCTTAGTCACTTCGAAAAACAGACATATTAGTAGAATTGGTAAAAGTAAATAGATGGAGTATTAGTTCCATGTCATAAAAACCGGCGACTCTTTGAAAATTGTTACTAGACACATGATATCGATTACATACACATAGCATATTGACATTAAACTCTAACCATTGCTTTTAGATATTTCTGATATGAAAGAAAAATATAGGAAGTGTTCATGCATTATATAAATACTTTTGTAAAAAAAACGTTATTAATAGACTTAAATGTCTTTTAGTCCCTACAATATTTTCATTTTAGATCTCTGTACAAAAAATCTTCCCCCCTTGCAATAGACTACCTCCTTATTTATTATTTGCATATACTACATACGAAGTATTTCTTTTAGGAATATTTTTAATATTTGCAACATTTTTATTTATCATGTCTTACTTTTATTTTCATCTCCTCTTTTATATTTTTTCTAACTTATGTTCTCTTTCTTACTTTTTCCATGTACTTTTTCCTAAGTTTTACATTTTTTTACATTATTCATTACCTCTACCACTTTTTAGTCTCTTTGAAAAACTTAAAACCCCAAATCGAAAAATATGGAAGGAGTATATTATTTTAATTATAATCCCTATATAATGGTGGGGCCATCTTCAAAAGAACTGATGTCAATGACATAACCCAATCTACTATAAACTTTTTTCATAACCTTTTGGAGACTATTAGTAGAGTTTACTACACAACTCTACCCTAAACTATGCAAGACTAACTAATGTCAATTAAAGTATGAAAAAGGTTTAACTATTTTTGGAACGAATGGACAAAGTAAATTAGAAAACCTATTAGCCATATATATTTCGTTATGAAACGAAGGTTGCTTAATACTTTTAAAAACTGAAAAGAAAAAATGAATTACAAGGTTAAAAAACATTATGCAGAAAACCAAATATGGAATGTAACTTGTTTTGGTGATATCTGGAATTATGGAATTATGGGAGCCTTTGCGGCACTGGGGTAATGATGATGAGAAGTCTTATTAATAATTAAAACATCAGTTGAACCCCAATATTTTGAACAGAAAACCAAATATGGAATGTAACTTGTTTTAATGATATATGCAAGAAAAAATTCCACTTTTGGTCCTCCGAATTATGCACCAATTCCACATTTAGTCCTCATCTTTTACTTTATTCATTTTTTGTACCTGACTATTGTTTTCTTGACCATATATAGTCCTTTTTCAGTAGTAAAATGTCCAGAGATGGACCGAAAATGGTCAGAAAAACAATAGTCAGGTACCAAAAATGGATAAAGTGAAAGATGAGGACTAAATGTGGAATTGGTGCAAAACTCGGAGTACCAAAAGTGGAATTTCTTCTATATGGAATTATGGAAGTAGTATTTTACGGAGGCCGCAATATATATGGGTGGTATGGCGCAAGGCAGGGTTGTTCCATTTTTTCACAACATTTTGGAATATCGTGCGGAGCTTACATGTTTAGGTGTTGTAAGTGTATATCCATAAATACTACGTAGATAAATTGTAAACAAATCTTATATACATAAGGGGATAACTGGTAAAGCTGGAAAATGGTGCCGGGGAGGATTCTCCCTTTATGTGTATGAGATGAGATGTACTCCGTATATAAGATCCGATTTTTTTTAAGTTTTTCATGTTATTTGTATATTTTGGATCTTTTTTTAATTTAGGATTTATTTATAGCGTATGAAATTTCTTAATTTTTAAGTTAGCACATGTAGCCCATTAGAGGTCGAATTATAATAAAGTGACTAGATTAACATTTTAAGTCAGCATGTGTGTATGGTACTTTCTTAATTAGCATACAGGTTTATGTGATGCATCTCAAACTTTGTTTTTTTTAACGAAATAATTGGAGATCAGAGCATCTCAAACTTTGTTTGAGGGGCGGGGCGACTAGCGCCTAGGCATCGATTAGGCGCCGACTAGACCGATTAGTCCTACACATTTAGGGTTTCTAGCGCCTAGGCACCAATTAATCGGACTGATTAGGTTGATTTTTAGAACAATCATCTCAAATAGTAAAATGGTCTCTTTGACCATTTTCATTTCTCTCTCAAGTTTGTCAGGGATTATGTATGAGGGGGTGTATGTGTGCATACATGAATGATAAGAAATTACAAATGGTTGCAGTATTTTACTCTATCATGGATTTTAATAGACTACATAAATGTTGGTTAAATAGCATTTGTGGAATATAATACGGTTACGGAAAATTGACTTTTTCATCCTATGATTATATCAAAATTGGATTTTATATCAAACATTTAAACCCTTTGAGTTTGCACATCACATTCACATATGTTTTCTATATTAGATTTTTAAGCAATCTAGGGTATACAATTCGATTAGATATTGATATATGTTTGCATATCGAACCAAATTATGTGTTTATTGGACAGGAAAAATAGTTTCTGTCTAGTTAAAATTATACTTCGTATTTAATAGCTGCTAGGGGAAAAACTATTGTACAATGAAACTCTAAATTTTAAAACATGAAATGCAAATCCAATTTTGATGTTAACATGTGATGAAAAAATCAATTATGTATTATTATTTGAGTTGTTAAAGCATGGATAATTAATCAATCTTTCCATATATATTCAGGAGGAATGGGTGGTGTGTAGGGTATTCCAAAAATCTAATACAACATTGAGAAAATCTCAACAAACAACATCTTCACCACAATCTCTAGAGTCTCCTTGTGATACCAGCACCACCATAGCCAATGAATCGGGAGATAACGATCAACCGAAATTTGACACCATAGTATCATATTCTTCTCATGCCGGGATCAACAGCAACATTTATTTGCCAAATTACGACAGCAATGAGGGTGTGTATATGGGCATCATGAACAGCAACATCAACATGAATGCTACTCTCCCCCTACTCCCCTGGTCACCACCGTTGCTTAGCTCAAATCTTTCATCCGTCAATTCATTGCTCCTTAGAGCATTACAATTTAGAGGTAATAATGTATGCCAACCAACAGTAATGGATCATAATCAAGCTGTTATATGCAATAGTACTGATGATTATGCATGCATGCCACAAGGGTTGATGGACAATACTATTTCACAATTTGGTAATGAGTTGATCAACACTACTAGCAATTTCATGGGACTGCCAACTTCTTCCTCCGTGATTTTAGATTTTGTGAATAATCAACAACACTCACAAGAGAGACCATACAAGGAACATACCAACAACTTGTGACTTGTGAGGCTTCAACTGCCTTTAGACACTCTTATTTGTAACTTATTTCATGTTTAGCTTGTAAAAAACTAGAAACTAAATGTTTTGTTTTTGTAGTCTTCAAATTCATGCATGGAGGTTTTACCATGACAGTACTGAAGTATTGAGTGCTCAATTATGCATCATGACCATTACAATGTATTTCCATCTGCTTACAAAATCGTAGTATTAAACTTAATGTGACATAGAAAATAAGAACTTCAACTAAATGTGGTAACATTATGTATATATATTTAGAGGAATTTATTTATGTGTTTATCATTACGTATATGTTTTCATTCACATCTATGCACATATATTGTAATTTTCATATGTTCAATTCTCCCATTTTTGTTTTATTTCTTTCATGTGCATTCTGTCTTTAGTTTCAATTTAGTTTACCCAAACCCACAACAATTGCGTTGAAACTATTCACTTATTTGCTTTTGTTCGACCTTAATTGCAGCAATTTGTGGTAATATGTTTGGATATTTAATGCGGTAACTTCAATGTAAAAAAAAGAATGACACCTCATCTTTGAAGGCTCCACAACACCGGGCGGAAAGTTAACTTGGATGTAGATATAAGCAAGTGGGGTAGCACTCAAAAAATCAATGTTATACGCAATATATGTAGGCATATAGCAATAAAAGGTGCACACTTGGGGGAAAATATTTATGATTGGACATGGTATGTGTTGAGGGGACACTTGGGGAAAACATATTTATGATTATTGAGCTTGATATTGAAGGTATTAGTAATGAAAATACTAAATGAGTGTTGGATCCCGTACTTATTTTTGTAATAATTATAATTCACACTATCTACTTATAAAGTTTATTGTAATAATTATCATCTCAAATTCACACTAGTACGTACTTTTAGAATAATTTTTATTTATAACTTCAATTAATTAATAGTATAATTTTTGAATACGCTGTCAAGGCTTAGTGAAACATACTTATAAAACTATATAAAAAGTCACTAAAAGAAGGATGAGTAACGTATATTATTTAAAATTCAAAACTAAGTAGACTCATTGAGAAACTTTGTGACCAATGAATATAATGTATAAATACATAGGAGGTTCAATTAGCCCGTTATATAGGAGGTTCTCCCCGGCCGTCGCCAACTGGGGTGGTTCCCGGTAAAAAATTTTGATGAAATTTTTTGAGCATCTTCTTCATTAAGTCTAGTTTACCCATACCAAATTTCAGCTAAAAATAAAGTTGGGAAAGCAGTCAAATGATTTTCCGAAATGTGTTGCGCTGTTTAACTACGCAGTTATCTTCAAAAAATCATTTGACTGCCTTCTCGGTTGAATTTTTAGCTGAAATTTGGTATGGGTAAACTAGACTTAATGAAGAAGATGCTCAAAAAATTTCATCAAAATTTTCCATCGGGAACCGCCCCAATTGGCGACGGCTGGACAGAACCTCCTATATAAGGGGCTAATTGAACACTTTAATTTAGTTCATGTACCTATTTGACCCTTTAGCCTAAATACATATTATGATTATTTACTAAAGAAAGAAATCTTAGTCTCGATCCTTATTTTTTAAAGAGTTCATCAAACCTGCAAAAATTGTAATATTGTTGCGATTTAGATTGTCGGGATTAAGAATAATCTCTATTTAGTTAGCATCTAGAATATTCAGTTTGGGACAAATGTCAAATAATTTTAGAAGTTTGATATTAATGTAACATAAAAGATCAGGAATAAGTAAGTAAAAAAGATATTCAAATACTTAGATACATATCCATTTTTTATAAATGTATATTCTTTTTTTATATAGGAAAAATTGATAGTAATAATCTCAACTTTTGGCGATCCGCTCATAATAATCCCAACTATTGATTATTCCAGAATAATCCCAACTTTAGGGACCTTCCGCCAATAATGGTCCCTATGAATAAATTTTTGTAGTTTCTAAAGTGGATGAGATGAGATATAACAAGTAATCCCTATAAATAATCTCAACTTTAAATTTTTATGCTTAATTTCTATTTAAAATTCACTTTTTATAGAGGTAATATCTGGTCATGGACATTATTGGCGGATAGTCTATATAGTTGGGAGTATACAAAAATAATCAATAGTTGGGATTATTTTCAGTGGATCGGCAATAGTTGGGATTATTATTTTCAATTTTTCCTTTTATATATTCATATACAATTATATACTACGTTTATGTATATATATTTTTATTGCTATACAATTATAGTTGTAATATTTTTGTGATTTAGATTGTCAGGATCAAGAATAATCTCTATTTAGTTAGCATCCAGAATATTCAGTTTGGGACAAATGTCGAATAGTTTTAGAAGTTTGATATTGTAATAAAAGATCAGGAATAAGTAAGTAAAAAAGATATTCAAATACTTAGATACATATTCATTTTTTAAAAATGTATATTCTTTTTTTATATATTCATATACAATTATATACTACGTTTATGTTTGTATGTATGTATGTATGTATGTATGTATGTATGTATGTATGTATGTATGTATGTATGTATGTATGTATGTATGTATGTATGTATGTATGTATGTATGTATGTATGTATGTATGTATGTTGCTATATGTATATGGTGTCGGGATGTCGGGATTTTCCTGATCCAGACTTTTCTTTTAAAAAAATCTTGATCCCGTCCCGACTTAGTCGAGATCGGGAATATCGGGATCGGAATCGGGATTCGAGATTTGGGAAAAAATTCCCACCCCTACTTGAAAATTGCACTTTCAAACATTTCTTATTTTGACTGTTAATTTTATAACTTGAACTGTACTTCATTTGTATGATAGAAGATATTGAAAACTCATGAATCCAATTCAACCTTAAAGAATTTTTTCACGCTACATTGGCAAATTGGGTAAACTCACTTTCTCACTATCTACTTTACGGATTTGAGAGACTCTTTGTCTCTACTTTGAGTATTTAGAGACTCATCGATAATTTTAGAACAGAGAATTTCTTGAGGCAAGCTGACCTCGAAAAGTTCGGAGTTCTAGATCCAGATGACTTGTTTCCTACAACGTTTCATTCTGAAGCTTTTGATTGTGAGAGAATTTATGAGGATTCTCACTCCACTTATTCGATGGATGAATTTCTTGGTCACATCTGAAAAAAGGATTCTTGATAATGGAATACCTTTGGGATACCGAGGCGAATGAGAGTATTTGCCAAAAAGTTCTATTAGTCACACAAGACAACTACTTATCCATTGAGAATTTGGACACTCAGAAAAGAATGTAGGAAAAGAAGAATCAACAGGTACATCTCATGAAAACAAGATCACAAACTCAGATATAGCTTTAAAGTCTTGCTAGAGGGCTCGATTATTTAGGGTCTCTAGTTTTAAATTTGGGTTGGGTTATTCTTGTTTTTTATTCTTTCTGTATTTCCTTGAACTTTTGTTTGTTTCATTTTTAATAAAGTTACTTTTAAAAAAAAAAAAGATATCAAAAAATTATAGAATGAAGAATAATGAAAGAAAAAATTACCTACAATATTATGTATTAATAGGATAAATATTAATATTGTAACATATGATGAATTTAATGCAAACATGGAGGGAAAGTTGTGTTAAAGAAGATTCTTCGTTTATGTATACTCCTTATAAGATAAAGAAAGAATGAGCTTAATATATTACCCGTAGGATTTTATTAGACAAAAATCATTCTACATAATTGCACTACTTTCAACAAAAATCATTCTACTTATTTGAGTTGCACCATTCACATTAGCGGATCTACGACTCAAAATCACTGTTGTTACGTTTCTCCTTTTATCGCTGCAGGTCTCCATACTCATCTCTCGCTATGAAGGCGGGCCTCACTCCAGTCTCCATCTGAATTCTCGCCGTTCGTATTGCTCTCACTACTTCTTCAATTAAAACTTATCTTTAAATTGAAATTGTAATGTCTCTCTATAATTTAATCATTATTAGATGAAACAAAGTTAAAGGATTCTGTTTTTATTACTAACTGTTTTTTTTTTTCAGGTATCATTTCATTCAGTTTAAGATACTGAGTGTGTAGCTATTTCCCATGATCGGTTTGATCAAGGTTAACTGATTCAATATTATTTTGTAAATACTTTTAAAAGTATATATTCATAATCATGCTCTTTCCCTTGCTTTTATTAATAAGCATTAAACCGTCTTCAAATCTGGATGTCAGATCTGAATCTCATGCTGATTTATGTACGGAGTATTTTCTTGTCATGATGAACGTACAAATATCTTATATCTAGGTTGGTTTAGCAATGAGATATATTTAATACTTGATCTTACTGAATATGAATTAGACTCACTTTTCATTTTTTTTTTAAATAAATAGTGAAAGAATCAGACAGAACAATTATTATGAATAAACAAATTAGGGAAAGTTAATTATGAATGTACGAAGTATAATTTATATATTCAACAAGATGTATAGCACCTAGATTATATACTGAATCAGACTTAGAACGATAATTAATATTACCTCCCACCCTCTTAACTTTGCCAAGTTGATGCTAGGTGGAAAATTAGAATAGTAAAAATTGTGTGGTTGAGATTTGTGTAGAGGAAAGATAATTAAATAAAGATAGATTCTATGGTACCCTTAAGGTATCATACCTTTGTCAACATGGACCAATCAAAATGTTGCAGTTGAATTATTTAAATCTAAATTAAAAATGATATAATGATTTAGACCAATCAAATGGATGGTAGGTACGGTACCCCATTTTTTAAATAGGTACCGGAGTTGTCACCATAAATAAAACCATAAATTCATTGCTGTAAAAGGAAAGTTGCAAAGTATTTGGGGACAAACAAAAAATGAAAGTTGGCATAGTCCAGTGGGACGGATGAAATATATGTTTCAAGATATTTTGTAGGAAATAACTGAATTATTTGAAAAATAACATAAATAATTAGTTTATATCCTTATACGTGTACAAGGCACGTCAGAAAAAAGTTTGATATGAAATTGTTAATGTGTTACCTAATTCAAACTAATTAGCAAGTATATTGCAGGCATAAGAAAGCTAACTCTTGGAATTTCTTTTTTTTTTTTTTTACTCTAGAGGGGTATGGGGGAGGGGGGCATGGGGAGTCTGGAGTAATCAGGGCTGAAACTCACTCCATTGAGTTCCAAACCCTTATGTGCCTAATGGGTTTCGAACTCGAGATCTCCCACTAGGCACAGTAACTGACGGGCACTTTGTCACGGTGCGTCAAAATAATATTCGATACTAACACTTATACGTAGTATATGTGAAGTAGAGTTCGTATCCACATGGAAATGAAT